ATTAACTGGTTCATTCTTTTATTCATCCATTAATCTATTTTTATTTTTGTTGGGAGGAAAACTAACTTTTCCAACTTGGGTCCAGGGTTTGGAGGGTCTGAAAATTAACTGATAACAGGCAAAGTTTCTTTACACAGGCATGTGATGAGTAAGTTGCTGAATAGCCAGAAATAAAAAGGCTTATAAACTATACTAAACTTCAGCAAAAAGGGGAGAGTAGGAAGATTAGGGCTTTCTGGGGAAAGTATGGAAGGGTCTATTCGGCTTTGTGATGTTAATAGACAGCTGAATCTACACTCCTTGGTGCTAAGGGTCAGTCTTTTCCCATCAGGCAACTGCCTGGGTGGGGTCAGTGGCAGCTGTATTTTCAGGAGGCTCTGTTAAGGTTAGAGAATGTTTCTTTCTGTGGCTGCTGATTGTTCAGATGTTTTCAGTTTAAGTTTTTATACCACTTTGATGAACTATTAATCCCTTAATTTGATGCATGTCAGTACATTTCCCCTTAAATAACGTCAAAATATATAACAGTTACTAAAGTCCAGAATTTGCAACTTTAACTTTTGAGACAATTTACGTGTAATAAAATGCATACATCTTAAGAGTACATGTGCTGAGTTATTTAAGTAACCAAAATCCCTATCAAAATAGAAAAATTACTATCACCATCACCCCAGAATTCCCCGTGTACTTGCAGCAAATCCCGCCCCTCACTTCTTTTAGCATCGCCACATTTTCTTAATTCTTAGATACCTCTAGTTATGATCGTTAATAACAGCTTTTCGTATTTCTATCTATTATAAGCTACATTGTGACTTGAGAAACAGGAAAATGTGAAAAAAAGTATCCTAGGTTTAAGAAAATATTATATGTTCCTTGGTGCCTTTGAGAACCTACCAAATGAAGATTTCCACGAGTGTATAACGAGGGTCTTTTTAAATTTAGTGCACAGCCAACCTAATGAACTTTCTGTATAAGAATAATTGTTCAGTCACATTCATTTAATAGTTATTTTATAGTAAGTATCTATGTCTGCATTGTATCATAAAGAAAAAATACAATTGGAAGCAGCATTTCCTTCTGTTTAAGTTTTGTTTTTTTAGTCATTTACTCTGTAGTTTACTTTTTCTCCCCAAAATGATGAGCATGTAATTTACCCTCTGGCTCATCTGCCTACAGCCCCCAACCAGCCTTTATTCCTGCAGACTCGGGGAGGCAGTGGGAGCTCCCAGTTAAGGACCCCGGACCCCTGCTCAGTCTTAGTCTAGTATCCTGACAGGTCTTTGGTGAGGACACTCAGGATTTCCTTTATCCTCAGAGAGCAAAGTCCTTCCCACATGCCCTCCATCTAATTGGAAGTGAAATCCTGTT